TTTTTTTTTTCTTTCTCTAGGGTTTTGAGCCTTGACGATAACGCGTTTGTGACTTAGAATCAATGAGGAGGTTGAGTATGTGGAGCGGCGAAGTGTATCCGGAAAAGCCGGGCCAGCCCGACTGTGCTTATTATATGCGGACCGGGTCGTGCGGGTACGGCTCCAAGTGCCGGTACAACCACCCTCGTGATCGCACCGTTGCCGTAAGTTCCGTGGCGGGTGAAATTTTTTATTTTATTATTGATTTTTCTTTGAATTATCGAGGTTACGGTTTTCCTAATTCCGGTGTGTTGAAATAGCTTAATCGATCTCAGCCGTGTTTTATACTTTCTTCCACAATTTTTAAGCAGCATTAATGGACATGGTATTAGCAATCTCTCTTATGGAATCATTTGTTTTCTGTTTTGTTATTGTTTAGTAGGGAAATGTTATTACGGAATCATTCCGTCGGGATTTGTAACCTTTAGATCATCATGTAACCGTCGTGAATAGTTGATCTAACGGTTACAAACCCCCGACGGAATGGTTCCGTAACGGGACGGTAGAATCTCCCTGTTTGGGATTATATTTGTCCTGTAATTACAAATTAATTATTGGTTCACATGCCTTACACTTTTTACAGGAATGGGATGGGCTTTGATACAGCTCTGTTTTGGTTCAATGGATTTGTTGATTTGATTTTGAGACAGTGTGTTGTATAAAAAAGTGTTGGTTTTTTATTTTCAAAATTTGTGTCTCCTGTCTTAGCTAGCTACATTTAAAATAAAATCCGAAAACATAATGCTACGGTCCCGTTATGGAGCCATTTCGTCAGAATTTGTAATCGTTAGATCATTATGTAACCGTCGAGGATAGTTGATCTAACGGTTACAAACTCCGACGGATTGGTTTCATAACGGGACGGTAGCATCTCCCTTTATTTTATTTTTAATTTTTTTTCTGTTTAATGGATTGTTAACATTCGGCTTACTAATATTTGTGCAGTTGGGTGGTGGAGAGTATCCCGAGCGACTCGGGGAGCCTCCATGCCAGGTAATCTCTGCTTTCATCTGTTCAAGCAATTCACTTTCAGTTTTTGCATTCTCTTGCTATTTTGTAAACTTGTTTTGTTGTCTTTACAGTTTATTCATGAACCTTTTCTTTTCCCAAAACAATGCAGTATTACTTAAGAACCGGGACCTGCAAATTCGGTCCGTCCTGTAAGTTCAACCACCCGAAAAACGCTGGCGGCTCGTTAGTTAGTGCACCTCTAAATATTTACGGATACCCATTACGACCGGTAAAATTATCATATGGATTTTAACATTTTAACTCGCTCTCTTTTTTTATTTTTTCTTTATCAAAATGTTGTTTTTTTTGCTTCAGGGCGAGAAAGAGTGCTCCTATTATTTGAAAACGGGGCAATGCAAGTTCGGGATGATGTGTAAATTCGATCATCCCCAACCGGACAGCACATCTGTGTCAGCATCTGCACGTCCATTTTATCCGAACGTGCAGTCTCTTTCTTCTCCTTCTCCCGAGCAGTATGAAGGTGTCGCCAGGCCTCCTTTGGTGCCCGGATCTTACGTGGCCGGTGCGTATGCTCCCATGCTGCTACCTGGGGTTGTTCCCTTTCCCAATTGGAGTCCTTACTCGGTAGAGTTGTTTGCTGTTTATCGTTTTTCAAAATTCGGTCCATTTTTTACATATGGAGTTACAAAGCCTTTTCTTTATCTGATTTGTTCTTATTTTACATTGTACTCGGTTTTTTTTTCTCAATTTATCAAGCTATTACGCGATGCAGGGATCAGTGAGCCCAGCACCATCACAGATAGGTTCATCTGCACCTGCCCACGCGGGAACGTATCCCCAGTTACCCCTGCCGGCTGGCCCTTCAGACAGCTTAACAAAGGAACAGAAGTTTCCGGAAAGACCTGGCCAGCCAGACTGTAATTACTACATGAAAACTGGTGACTGTAAATACGGGTCGTCGTGTAGATATAACCACCCTTCGGATTGGGATGCGTTGAGGTCGAATTTTGCTCTTAGTCCCTTGGGTTTACCTCTCCGTCCGGTAAATTTTAGACTCTTTCTCGATTCATTCTTTAAAAGTCGACATTTTAGACTCTTTTTTCGATCACTCATCCACATTCCCGGACACATTAATGTAAAATCTATCTAATATCTTTAATCCACATAGCTTTTTTCGTGATTGCCGATGAACTACAGGGAGAGCAGGCATGCTCGTTTTATCTGCAGAAAGGATTCTGCAAGTTTGGACGTGCGTGCAAATTTGATCACCCAACATCGACCGAAAATTACAATCTAGCTTCATCATATACTGAAATGCCAGGTAATCCTTAAAACTATCAAACTTTTTTTTTTTTAATTATCGATACGAATTCCTTTCGACCAACTTAATCATTTCGAAACCTTCAGGGTGATCACATTGCAACAGCCAGTTCGTCGGTCGAAATTTAAAAGTATAAAACGGTCAGGGAAAGCTTGCTCTTCCATCTTTGATCTGTATGTTAGGTCCCTTATTTATTGCTGAAGACTTGGTGAAGAGCCTAAATTAAGCACACTTTTTTTTTTTTTAAAACAGTTTATGGTTTGGTTAGATTATTGAATGAAAACTTAATAAACGTATGTTGATTCAAATGGGGATGTTATTTAAGTTTCAAGATCAGCCAAAATTTATTGCAATAGTATAATTATGATGACCAACACGGTTGGCTCAAGTGGTAACCAGCTTGATGCCGCTTAAGTAAGGTCTCGGGTTGCATAAAACCCTTGTTGGGAGACTCACCCACCACTGTCAGGTGTGCGACCTGGGTCGACCAACGGATTAGTCGGGGCATAACTCCGGATACCGTGGCTGGCTACCAAAAAAAAAAAATTATGATGGTGCCATGTTAAATTATAATTTATATAATTTTTTTTAGAAATATACTTTCTGGCCTCGTTACTAAATATGATGGAATTTGACAAATTAATCCCTTCAATTTGTCACATCAAATTTTACATATAAATTGTCTCGTGTTTACCAAAGTAAATAAAAGTATGTGATAAATACATTAAATTACCGATTTAATTAATTAAACTAATATTCTTATAAATTAAATAATATTATTTTAAATTAAATAAGAGTTTTTTATATCAAACGATGTTTTTTAAATTAAATAAAATTGATTAAATAAATATTTTATAGATTAAATAATATTATTTTAAATTAAATAAATATACTAAATAATATTATTTTAAATTAAATAAGTTATTTTAGATTAAAAAATTAAATAATTTTTTTTTTTAAATTATATATGAGTGCATATGTGCATACGCAAAAATATTATTAATTTTCGTATAAGAACGATATATTTTGTACACATCCTTTAAGTGTAGATTTAATACGTTATTATGTGTATTCTATTAAAAATTTACCTAATTTCGAATCATTTATTCTTAGAAATAATGCATTTGATTTTTATTGTTTTTTTTTAAATGACAAACAAAAGGAATTTTGAATAAAACATATCCGCCTCGTTTAGAATGAAAAGTATCAATTGTATTACGATAAAAAAA